GCAAAGAAGTGCCTTCCAGGGGAAACGTTTAAATTAGGTAATTCTAATTTTAACTTCTTAGTCAAATGATTGAAATGCAATTTTAAAAAAAACTTTCTAGTTAAGTAATGAGGCAGGAATTAGCTCTTCAGCATGGGTGGTAACAGTTGGCTTCATGTTGTCCCGTCTAGATTTTCCATTTAACACTTGCTGGTCCTGGGGTGTGAATGAGTACCTCCAGAGTTGGAACTGTGCTCTGTGCCACCTCCCTGGACTCCTACAGTGCACTGACCCTTATCCTTCAGTACTGAGCAATGTGCAGTAGAATGTTTTCTAAGTTTGTCAAAGTTTTCCTAAAGAATGTCACCAAGATGGTTATAGAACCAAACCCCTCAAAATCCAAGCAAATCATTGGATTGAATCTTTTCCTGGAGGATAGTTCCTTTTGGTATTTATGAAAATATTAATTTTTTTCCAGGTGGCAGTACTGGAAAGCTATGACCACTTAGGCCTTATCTTTAAGATGCATGTGTACTAAATCACAAGGATGATTCTTAATTCTTTTCTGTTTAATGCCTACTCTAGCTGAATGGCTATGGTAACCACTTAAAGTGTGTAGTGGCTTTCCTTAGAATCAGGTGGGTCACACAGTGAATAAAATACCTAACTCCAAGTGGCAGTAGTAGTAGGTGCTTTTTTCCCTTTTCCTGTATTCTGCTATTAACACTTAGTTGTTACAATGTGTGAGGTGTAGATAATAAAGCAGCTTTATTCTCATTCCCACTCCCACCACTTCTGGGAAAATAAACCCAGAGGTTCTGTCATTTCCCCTTCTGTGTGTGTGTTTTGTTTGAGCTAAATAAGAGGAGTCAGGTGATTTATAATGTACTTACCTTCGGTTGGATGGGACAAGTACACATGTTAAATAAACACCCAGTAGGAGCCAACCAACAGCTGTTTTGTACCCACTAGGGAAACCCTGGGGTATCACTTCTTCCTGAAATTAAGACAACCTGAAAAAAATTTTCTCTGAGAGTCATCAGATCTTTATAGATCCTAGAAAAGATGGCTTAGATGACTTTTCTGGAAGGATCCATTTTCTGGGGGCTTTATGAGCCTCTTGTGAATGTGAAATTTGTGCTTTTTATACTTCCGTATCTTGCAAGCAGAAAAATACTACCATTTATAGACAATAGTTCCCATCATTTGTGTTGCCCCAATTGCTGCTTTGCAAAATTTCTTGCCACATACAAATTACTACTACTAAATAATGTTGGGTTTGTATTCTGAATTACTTACAAATTTAGATAGAGCGCTGAGGTAAAAGTGATGTGAGTGGATATTCTATTTCTGTTCAAAGCTCATGGGTTCTGTTATCAGGAGTCCTGAGAAGTCCTTGGGGTCCAAAAGAGAAAAGGCCTATTAATTCTCTGAGGGTAAGAAAGCAGTTTGAAATTTGATTATATGACCCAAGCTGGATAGATGTAAGGCAAAAAAAAAAAAACATTGGTTCTAGTGGACCCTCTCATCCATGTTTTCCTTTGGCCAGAGTATCTCTGAGTCACTGTCTACCCTGTCCATTGGGGAGGTAAGGGGCTTCTTGCCTTGGGGAAGGCAGTAAGAAACATGTCTCAGGAGGGCTGATTACTACCAGGGACAGTTGGAGCAGAGATGCCAACAGAAACAAGATTCTAGGAAGGTGTCCTTTGCCAAGAAAAATCAGATAGGAATCATAAAATTTATGAAATTGAGTAAATTTTCAAGACTTAACTAGCACCATAAATAAACATGTGCTGTGCTTTTAAGAAACATAGAAACCCAACTCCAGACCTACTAAAATGAATAGTTTAGGGACTTGTATTTTTAAATGTTACATAGATTTTCTGCATATTTCTGTTTAAGAACCATGGTTCATAATCAAATCTGCATCCAGTTTTTAAAACAATACAAGAGAAACTAGCAGTTGAATGGCTATTCCTACTTCTATCATCTCTTCCAGTTTTTCTAAGATACTGTCATTCTCAGGGAGATTCAGATTAAGGCATTTTATTGGAAGACTGAATTTGTTTTTTTCTGATATGTGTGCTTTATAAGTTGGTGTATTAGTATGACCAAGACCCAGTCTGTAAGAACTTGACTCCTTGGGAATTTTTCAGGGGGTTTTGGCATTTCATTATCTTATTCATACAAACTTTAAGTTCCTGGTCTTTTTCCTTGAGATACTGATGTCTGGAGAGTACTTCTTGGTAGGTTTTTAAAGTGTTGACTCTTAAAGTTTTGTAAGCCATAAGAGTAGACTTTGAATTTCCCTTGTGTGCAGGGGCTTTCCCAGCTGGTTTTGCAGATATGTCTGGATTAAGGTTTAAAGTTAACTTTGCTTTTAGATTTAGCTCACCATTTAAAAATGTCTCATTTTTACAGACAGGCAAAGCTTCCTTGCTTTTATTTCCAAACCAGCTAATGGCCAACATAACTATAGTGGGATTTAGCTTCTTTAAGAATATCCTTGATAAGGAAGGTATGCGGAGGCATTGTTTAGGTGTTAGCCTATCCAAGTGTCAGGATAGAAGGAAGAATTACACATTCTGGTGTTTCCCCTATTTTCTGATTTAAATGATTGCTCAGGATATATATCTGCATGTGGCCAGTTAGAGGCTGCGTGAAAAATCTTAAAAGATAATTTGGCAGATACTGTATCTTTGATCTTTGACCTACTAGAATTTCATGAGGAAACCTCATTAAGGCCTATGTCCTAGGCTAAAAATGCCATCTCTTCCCTCTTACTGGACAGACTGGTAAAGCATCTCAGCTTGAAATACAGCTTTTCTGTTTAATGAAGCAAGATGCTTAAAGGGAGATCTTGACTTTCTGCTCTCTCTGCCTATATACTCAGACCCCAGCTGATTTTTGTTAACTGTAACTTTATTGGTACTTTTCGATTCTTGTGTGTGAGGCAGCCATGTTACTGCTTTGCCTTCCATGGCAATCCTTCGATTTCTATTAAAAGTCAGTATCATTTCCATAAAAATCTTTCTAGCTTTGGAATAAACAAAAGAATTTAGTGACTTTTGTGTCCCTTCTTCTATCTCCTCATCTAGATTAGCTTTTGCCTGTGGCATGGCAAAGATGGCAGAAACTACACCCCCTGTATTTTAAAAAAAACTTCTCTTTGTCCAAGGAGAAAAGGGAGGCTAATTGTGCTTTTTTTAATGTCTCAGTGTTCAGAATGTTTGCAAAAGAAAGCCAAGGGACTTAATTGGGGTCCCCAAAGCTGCAGTATTTTTTTTTGCCATTGGTGTATAAAGGTAGCTGTTTTCACTAATAAGAGTACCATTTTTTTCTTTGACTCTTTACAATAACTTGTAGAGTGAAGGAGAGGAGGCTGTCAAATTTCGTATCACTTTACACTATATTTAATACGACTTTGAAATCCTATTGAAAAGTTTGTAGAGTTGTAGAGTTGTTCTGGGCCTAGAGACCAGAACTAATTTTACCAGCTAAGTTCCTCTTTCTTCAGTGTTCTAAACTTCAGGCTTTAATTTGTCTCTTGTGTTGCATATAAATTTTTTCCCTGAGCATCATAGGAAGGATTTTCCAAATTTTCTCCATTCTGCTGTAAATCCCTAGAACATAGTCTAAAATGTTGAGGGCTGTAACTTAAAATAATCCTGTGTCTTCTGTCCTTTCAAGAATGGTCAGAATACTCTGGAGGTTACCTCACAGGGTGGTTTCTTGATAACTTTATCCAGTAGCTTTAGTGTTCTTACCCATACAGGGAGTTAAAAATGTTGGTTCCTTTTGAGTCTGGCTTTTTCTGCTCTCCCTTTGGTGGAAAGACTCACTACACTTTGCTTTTTAATTTGTCTAGATAACCTGAAATAGGAGTTAACTGTGCTTGGTGATGCCTTAGTTAGCTATCAAACTGAGTGGGTTCTTGCCTCATCCACTGTTTCTGTTGTGCTTTGGCAGAACGTTTTCCTGGTTCCATTACTTAATATATATGTATGCCTATCTGCTGGTTACTTGGTCCTATCTGCACCTTTGGTTCATTGATGATGACCTAGGGAATCTTTATTCATGCCTTTGCTAGTTTCTTTAGAGATCCTCCCTTTTTAGGTGCCACTTTTATCTACCAGCTACTTTTAATTGGGAAAGCGCTGTGTAGTATATACCTAGAGTTTGGTTTTTACGTACAGTTCTTAAGCTCACTCCCTTCCTCAGCCTAGATTAGGAACCCCTAATTTAAAATATTCAGATTTTAATATATTTTCTGTGTAACTTTCCTAGCTACTTACTCCCAGTTTCCCATCAGTTTGCCCTGGCTTCTCTCCATTTATGTGAGGAAACTGTAGATCTCTGATACCCTTTCTATTCTTAAACTCTGCACAGTCACTGCCTTGCTGCTGTAGCTCCATCTGGTTGCTTTGTTTGGGAATCTTTGGGTTACATGGAACCAGGGTGTAATGTTCTTCAGGCTGGTCTTTGCTTTCCATTAGCTTTCTGCCTTTGTCCAGGACTTAGAACAACAGATTGTCTCTGTCTATTTTCCCACTCAACAATAAATATAACTTGAAAAGTTGAGGTCTTATAAAAAAAGCTTTTCAAAAGTTTTATGAATTTTGTAGGGTTTTGTTTTATTGATGGCAACTTGATTGAAATAGGTAAAAGATGTAGGTGTCATAGTTAATGAGGTTCTTTTTCACCCTAGTCATTATGGAGTAACATTCCCAAAACACAATCCTTGAACAGTTCCCTCTCCTGCTTGGCTTTGGCACCCCTTCCTGAAGAGAGTGGGGTCAGTTAACTCCTATTGTCCCTGCTCCAAAAAAGGTGGAAGAATTGACTTATGTCAATTGGAGCAGTGTAACTATTATACCAGGTATATTCAGTTCCTGCCCTTACCTATGTTTTCTTATCTTGGAAGGGGATTGCTTTCCCTCACCATTTATCTCACAGCAGCTTATTTGTTTTTAAAGTTGCCCAAAAAGTACACAAATTAAACTTTTGACATCTACGTGTAGGAATCCCGTTCTGCTTCCAGAAGTGGAAGTGCTCATGGATCTGGGAAATCTGCAAGGCATACCCCTGCAAGGTCTCGCTCCAAGGAAGATTCCAGGCGTTCCAGATCAAAGTCCAGGTCCAGATCTGAATCTAGGTAAGAAAGACTATCTTGGGATTTTCTTCTGTTACTCTTAGCTTTGAAATTGGTGTGTGCTTTTGTAAACTAGGAAGACAGAGAGGGTTAGATCATTTGTTGGCTTATTTAATATTGGTACTAGAAATGAACTTAGTCCTAAGTTCTGGGAGACAGAAGACTACGTGGTTAAGAGCCTGGGCTTTCGTTTAGGGTTCAAATCTTACCTCTATTTTTTCTGACTTGGGCAGATTACTTAACCTTTTTCAACTTCAGCTTTCTTACCTATAAAAGGCGAGTTATTAATAGTAGCAGTTCTTCAGAATTGTTGTGAGGAATTCGCTATGAGTTTAAGTAAACTGCTTATTAGTATGGCAAACAGACTGCAGAACATTGGCTTTCAGTAAATGCAATTATTAAATAGGTGTAGTCAAGAATTACGTATCTGTGTATTAAAAAATACCTAAACACAGTGCACTTTTTTTATGTTGGTCAAGGTTAGGCTATATGTCCCAATTTGCCCAGGACAGCCCCAGTTTATGCCTATTATAAGGCATAATTAACGTCACCTGCATGTACCCCTTTTCTCTCTTATGTGTCGTACCTGGTTTAGATGACAATTCATATGATCACTCTAGTCAAGAGTAGCTGGTTGATTTTTATTTATTTATTTATTTATTTATTTATTTATTTATTTTAAACACTGCTGGAGAAAACTGTGATGATGATTGTATCTTAAGTGAATGATGGCCATAATGGGAAAAACAGAAAAAGAGAAGGTGGTATTTTGAGGGGGAAAGGTGGGCATAAATCAAGCTAGTATGAAATGCATGTTTTATAATTTTCAAAGTATATTGAATATGTTAATCTATTTTTCTTAATTGGGGAGAGAGCTAGTAGTAGTTTTGGAACTCTTCTAGCAGACTTGAAAAACTACTGATACAAAAGAAAACTGGTACCGTGTTAGTATATTATGTCTGGATTGTGTTCCATCTTTTGGGGTTTAACTCTAGAATAGAGTGTTAAAAGAATTGAAAGCCATATCTTATTGTCAGCTACTTAGTCATAATCTTGAATCCTTTCTCTTTCAGGTCTAGATCCCGAAGAAGTTCCCGGAGGCATTACACAAGATCAAGATCTCGCTCCCGCTCCCATAGACGATCCCGTAGCAGGTCTTACAGTCGAGATTATCGAAGACGGCATAGCCACAGTCATTCTCCCATGTCTACTCGCAGGCGTCATGTCGGGAATCGGGTAAGATGGGGAACAAAACTCTTTGAGACAATGAACTGTTGAAAGCCACTTTATAATACAGTCCCTCTTTCTCATTTTTTGTTTTGTTTTTAGTTAGAACTGATTTTGTTGGTGGGGCATTAGCAGTGAATTACATGAGTTAACTAGGGGCATTTTGGTGTTTTGGAGTCTTTTTAAGGTATCTCCCATGTAATGGTATACCTTTGGGCCATCACATTTAAGTAAAATACTGTCACATTGTATAGCTGAGTCCATCAAAGTAAAAAAAATCTCCATCTGTAAGCCCCTGTTAAAATATTAGTTCATTAGATCATGTAACAGGTCGACACGTCCTTGCTAATGTTACTCGAGTTTTCTGGGTTTGTTTTAATAACTCTTTATAGAGAATGTACTCCTGGCTTTCCCATTTAATTTTAAGCAGATTTTTTTCAGGTATTAAGGCTTTTATTATGTCCTCTGAGGTTCCAAATGCCATTTCAGTGTGGATATAGTGTGATTTCATTGTATTACCCAAGGTGGTCTTGTAGAGTGTGTATGCCTTTGTTTTTGAGAGTGGAATGGAATTTGTAGTGTATGTGTGAAACAAATGAAATCTTCAGGTAAATTCATTATGGCAACTGGAATGTCAATAGCATGTGGTTCATTATTTTTCTGTGCTCTTTTATGATTGCAAACTTGTATAACATCTTTAGCTTCAATCATCTGTGTATATAAACACCATACATTTTGTTTCTATAAAAACAGTGGGACATGCCCTTCTTTCTGTATACCTTTGTGGTAATTCAGAGTATCCCATCATATGTGTAGTATCTTAATATTTAAATCATTTGCCTTTTTTTCCTCCAGTTTTTTAAAACAAATGCTACTTGGCTTATCCTTGCATATGCATATTGTGAATGTGCAGATATTTCTTAGAATAAATTCCTAGAAGGTGAATTTCTCAGGCAAATTGTCCTTTGTTCTCCCCCAGAAAAATGCCCATTTGCTTTTAATTGGTATGAGGCCCTATTTTCCCCCATTTAATTCAAGTTGAAATCATTCCCTCTGCAGTCTTTTCTGCCTGTTCTTAAACATGCTTGCAGTGTTTGCTATAACATAAGTAACTTAAAAATAGTGCTGAGTATAATTGCTTGTTACCTACTTTAACTGTTGGTGATACTTCTGGCTAGTTTGTATATAGTTTCTTTAAACTTCAATTTATGACAACTCTTAAAGTACAAAATCCATTTTTCTGTTTTTAGGCAAATCCTGATCCCAACTGTTGTCTTGGGGTGTTTGGATTGAGTTTATACACTACAGAAAGAGATCTGAGAGAGGTATTCTCTAAATATGGCCCTATTGCTGATGTGTCTATTGTATATGACCAGCAGTCTAGACGTTCCAGAGGATTTGCCTTTGTATATTTTGAAAACGTAGATGATGCCAAGGAAGTAAGTAAAAGTCTACCTGTACCTTTGGAAAATACCAGTTTATTGTTAAGTACTAAGGACCAAGTATTTGGATAAGGACAGTTTTTGCTTTCTTGTAAATAGGTTGGTTGTATGACTGTAGCTTAAGTTAAAGAATTGCATTCTTTTGAGAACAGAACTAAATCGCCATCTATTACTTCTTGTCTGCCTGTTGCAGATCTTATACCTAGATACAGATACATAAAACATAATGTTAATGATGCCATTTAGAATATTTTTAATTAGGGTTCACATTGAGCTATTTTCTAGAATGGAGAAGAACATTACAAAGTGATGACTCAGAGAATGGAACTGGTTTTGAGTGTATGTTGATGAAAAGTGATTTTCACATTTAGATGTTAATTTGACTTGAGGCAGAATATAGGATAGGAAGCAGGAAATTTTAATATGTAGACCAAAACTTTCATGTGTGAATCTGGGCTACCTTTAGGAAAGTCAGCTAAAGCATCCCCAGTGTAGGGACAGAGGAAAGAAGAGGAAAAGCTTGGGAAACATTGAGGTCAGTGTTGAGATTAGTAATTGAGCTCTAGATTAAAACATATGCTTTATGAAGATTATACTAATTTTTATAAAACAATAAATTTGAAGCAGAGTAACCAGATTACTAAAGGAAGAATTATACACTGATTGCAAGTAATTGTAATAGATGACCTAATGGAATTGAAGAGATTTGAAAGGGATGCTTTAAGATGTCAGTCATCTTCATTTTAGTAGTAGTAATTGATGGCAAAAGGTATAAAACAAGATTTGCTCAAGGTTACTAACAGTATAGGCCTCCTAGTTTCCCTAATTTTGCTTGGTTTTGCTTTGCTATAGGATCGCAGTTAGCTTTCTGAAAAATAGCATAATTTATATAGTGCCTGAAGCTGTCTTCTGAGGTTTAAACTTTCAAGTTAGAAAATAGCATACTGGAATTAGAAGCTTAAGTTCTATTGAGACAGAGGAATGTTTCTGTAATTTTTGAACAAACTGCTTAGTTTTTGGAGTGGACTGGGTGTTTTGCTTCATATATATATATATATATACTGTTAGTGTATATTCTAGATGAAGGAACTACGTGTAATTAATAAGCATTTCTCATCCCAGCCTTTTGCTTCCATAACAGGATCAGTAAAATACTCTGCGAAAGATTAGATAGTGACTGTTCAGGGCTTTGCAAGCTTTGCATCCCAGTCACAACTTAGCGACTCTGCCGTGATTCAAAAGTCGTACGCAGTATAGCAGTATATAGATTAATTAACAGGTTGGGCTGTGTTTGAATAAAACATTTATGCGACTGAAATTAGAATTTTGTGTGACTTTCATGTATTATGAAATACTATTTTGATTTCCCTTCATCTCCCCCAGCCATTTAAATTCTTCATTCAGTGGCCATAGTTTGGCAACTGTGCACTGCTCTAAAGCTGTATAAGCATTATCAGATTTGTAGTTAGGTACATTAATTACTTCCAAGTATTTCATAGGGTTAGATTGGTCATTGTGGCTTTTTGGATAAACTTGAGTTTTTATGGCTAGCTTATTTACAATGAGTATATTTTAAGGGGGGAAGAACCTATTAAGTTGTAGGCCATAATGTTCTAGCTAACATTTAAAAGAATTTTATGTGCCTGAAACATCCAGTCCAACCTAAATGGCTAGTGGATAGTTTGTGGCTCTCTCCAGGATGTATATAATGACTTACATGTCTTCTAAGGCAAAAGAGCGTGCCAATGGAATGGAGCTTGATGGACGAAGGATTAGAGTTGATTTCTCTATTACAAAAAGACCACATACCCCAACACCAGGGATTTACATGGGGAGACCTACCTAGTAAGTTCATTTTCAAGGTAAAAATTTGATAGATGGTTCAGTTTGTCCACTTCCTTCAATAATTACGTGTGCTGGGGAAAAGTCGTTCTGTTCTTTTTTTTAACAGGCTGAACTATATTCATTAGAACATATCAGTCACTCTATTTGTGCACAAATTCTGATTGATGCCATTACACAGAATGGATCCCACTTATAAAGAAATGTCATGTATTTGGCTTTACTAAGTAATTGTTCCTGATCAGACCATATTCCCCACATTGGAAACTTAACCATTCTAGGTGAAGTCAAGTTCATCCAACTCCTCAAGTACATTTTTTAGTTTTCGTTTCCTTGAGCAGAGTGGAACACAGACCAGTTTTTGTAGTGAACTCTGACAGGATACTTCTTCCCTTTGTCATTATTCTCACCAGTGTGTATATTAATGGCAGAAAACTATAGATTTTTTTAATATAAATATAATGCACTTACATAAGGTAGAGAATTGTGCCATGATTACCTTGTTCTCTGTAATAAGCTGAACATTTTCTCACTCCAGAAACAGCATTTTACAAATACGAGTTTTTTTTTCCGTGGTAAAATTTGTGAATAAGTCAGAAAACTGATTTTAGTTGAAAACAAGTTAGCAGAATCTGTGTGGCCTCTTAACCAAAAGATTTTTTAAATATTCTTAATGTACATTGTTAAAATAGGAAAGAGAAAAGGCAGTGCTTATCCAGTATCACTGAGAATTTGTATGAGAATAATACTCATTTTTCTAGTTAATACATCTATCGGAAAAGGCCTGCCTCGGAACTAAAGTTGTTAGTAGACCTTTGTTTTTACCCACAAGAATAATAAAGAGGTTGCACTTAAAGCAGTTGCTCAGTAGCTGTGTGGGTGGCGTTGCCCCCAAGACTCAAATGAGCCACACTGCAAGGTGTGCTGCTACTAATAAATAATCTGTGAAGTTTTTAACCCCAAAAGCCATGTTTAGGAAGGTAAGACCACTTGATATTTTATTTTAAAAGACACATTATTATTCACAGTGGCAGCTCACGCCGTCGAGATTACTATGACAGAGGATATGATCGAGGCTATGATGATCGGGACTATTACAGCAGATCATACAGGTAAGTTAACAGTGTAATGAGGTTTAAATTGCCAAAACAGTTGAAGGAAGCGTCATCTCTTCTGAATCAGTTGCAACATAATTTAAAGCAGCACTGCTATACCTAAGTTAGCCTTTAATAAAATCACTGCCTTTTATGCAATCCAGAGCTAGAGTTTAAACTAGATTTTGAGGTTATGTGTCTTTCTGGTTTAATTCTTAAACGTCAAGTTGTATAGCAACCAAGATCCCAGGATTCAAACATGACAGTGGAAACAATTAGAGATCATACTTGAGTTTTTTCCCTTGTTTGTATTTGTTTCACTTTTAAGGTAAGTTTCATAAGCTGTATTTGGAAAGTCATTGCTTTACAAAGCAATTCTTTGGTGTATCTAATGTACCAGGCACTGGAAGAGAGAGAAAACTTGAGTTTTGGAGGAGCCCAAAGAATGAATTATTTAGGGACAATAATATAATAATGGTTAAGATACATTTTTAGGGGGTTGGCAGAAAAATGGCCAACATACTTTGAAAGGTAAAAATTTCAGTAAAATTCTCTTTCAATAGCAGCAACCAATTTAGACCTTCCTTTTTCGATAGCTAGCAACATACGTCTTATTTTGGTGTGGTGTCAAGGTATATGGATGTCCCTTTTTTTCTCTCTCTCACATTATTGACTTTGTTTTTAAAAGTTGACAATTGTTGGTAGATCATTGCCTATAGAAGTGAGTCCATAAGGGGTGCCCCTGACATTACTTCCTGTCCAGAACTTTATCCCCAACCAAAAAAAACAACTTTCTTTTTTTAAAGCATTTTGGATTGATTTGTGGAGGCTAAGAAAAGTAATGTTTTAGGTTTGGGTTTTTGTAATAACACTTGAGCTAAGTTCAGTTAGAAATGTTCTTTGTTCTAATGATACTCATTTTAGCCTCTTTGTTCTAATGATACTCATTTTAGCCACCAGAGAGAGCTCTACACCGGTTTGTAAGAAAGATTATAAAAGTAGCTCTTCATCATTTAACAAAACTAACTTTCACTTAAGCTTTGTGGGATTTTTATTTACTACCTGAACTGTATATTCTTGCAGCTTTAAAAAGTTACATACTGCTTTTCTGTCTTCACAGAGGAGGAGGTGGAGGAGGAGGAGGATGGAGAGCTGCTCAAGACAGGGATCAAATTTACAGGTATGCCAGCAGAGGATTTAAAATATGTACAATAGAATGGCTCACATAAAGACACTTGATTACTAGTATTTCAGTAGTTAAATTCTAAGTGTCACACAAAATTGTTGCATGACATTTGTAAAAAATATTTTTGACAAATCAGATTTACCAATGTGTACATGTTTTTGTGTGTTTATAGAAGTTAATTAGGCTTATACTAGGTAAATTACACAGTGGTATCATTTTGTACCTTAGTGAGATGATGCTATAAATTAAGGTCATTGAGATGAACCCATAATTTTAGCCTATTTATTCCTGACAGCTATCTTCTTATGTTATATAAGTATCTTAGAATGAGCAACTGAATATGTGAAGCACTAGTGATACTGTATGTTCATGAGGGTGTTGTTGGAACTAGTGATAACTTCTTTTCCCTTAACATACTTTAACTACATTTAAAATGGGTTAGCAGTGGATCCTACATAGCAAGGATTATTTGACTAATTATAGTTTGAGTGATTATTTGGTACCCAGGCAGATAATGTGCTTCATTCTCAGGACTGAGATAAACCTTGAAACCCCATGGCTTATGTAAAATTTGTTAAAGGTCAGTGAGGGTCTGTTAGTTTTGGAAACTGATAAAAGGGATTGTGTGTATAATCTTTATGTGTCATTTAGTCTCATTGTGATCTACAGAGTCTTAGACTTGCCATTTGTTTACAGAAGGCGGTCACCTTCTCCTTACTATAGTCGTGGAGGATACAGATCACGTTCCAGATCTCGTTCATACTCACCTCGTAAGTTCTTACTGTGATAGTTTTGTTTATATGTCGTAATAGTGTATAGCTTGCTCTAACTTGCCAAACCATTGCAGATGGGTTCATGCAAGTAGTTCATCCATATTTATTGCCCTACCTCCCCCTCTCCCCCCTATTTTTGTGTGTTGGGTTCAAGAAAGTATATGAAAACCCTTTATTTTTCTTGCTAACTAAAACAGTAAACGTATAGTATATCCTTTCACTATTTGTAGCTTTTCTTTTTAGGAGTCCATGGAATTTTTGTATAGTTTGGAAACATCTGAGTGACTTAAAACCTTGGGTCTTAGATTAAATTATACTTCCAGTTATTTCTCTTGCTTTAACATTAGTTCTCTCATTGCTTATGTAACCCTTGTGTGAAGGTGTTCCTCTATTTTCACAGGAGAGAATCTGGAACATAAATTTCTTTATGGAAGAGTTGTCTAAAATTCTCAAAATCAAAGTATACTGGAGAATCAGTTCTCTCAGTATTGAAACATATTATTTCTTTCTTTTCCCCCAGGTCGCTATTAAAGCATGAAGATGAAGACTTTCTGAAACCTGCCCTAGAGTTGGGATATTGTTTGTGGACAATATTTTTTATTGTCTCCTGTTTAAAAAGTGAACAGTGCCTAGTGAAGTTAGGTGACTTTTACACCTTTTATGATGACTACTTTTGGTGGAGTTGAAATGCTGTTTTCATTCTGCATTTGTGTAGTTCGGTGCTTTGTTCAAAGTTAAGTGTTTTCAGAAAAGTATGTTTTGCATGTATTTTTTTACAGTCTAAATTTTGACTGCTGAGAAGTTTCTATTGTACAAAACTTCATTTAAAAGGTTTTTCTACTGAATTCAGGGTATTCTGAAGATCGAAGCCTGTGTGTAAAAAAAAATATTACCAAATGGTAAAAAGCAACAATAAAGTTCGGTTTTTACTTTTCTTTCTAACATATCAGTGCTTAGCAGAACTGTTAAGATTAGGTTGTCAGTAGTAAATTTCAAGACAAAGGTCCGTTTTCTCCATCCATGAAACATACATACTTAATATACCTGCAAATAAATGTTAAAAATTATGCTCTGTAACTCTGTACTGCTAGTAATTAGAACTAAAAATCTTTCAATACAGCAAATGCTTAATGCTTATATAAATGTGGATTTGTCAGCCTTTATGTAATCTGTATCTCATATAGCAGGGAATAAGAAAAAAGAGTTACACAATGTATGCCTTAAAAGGCTGATTTCTTAAAGCTGTTAAAAGGGGATGGTAGTATTTCAAGTACTTATCAGCAAGTGACAATACATTCCACCACAAATGTACTCTTGTTTTTCTAGCTTTTAGACTATATGAAAAACTGGGTGCTTCAGAGTTGGGGAAAAGAAGGGAACACTACACCTGTGCAAACTGAAGACTGCCTGTTCATTTTTTAAATATTATTTTCAAGTCCTTTGCTTACCAAAGGAGGCCCAATTTCACTCAAAATGTTTTGAGAACTGTGTTTAAATAAATGCAAATGAAAAGAGTAAAAGGCTGGTACAACTCAGTTTACAAAGATTTTGTTTTAACATTATTGACTTAAAATTGGAGTCTTTAGTCTTGTGTAGTATCAGTATCCCTTGGGCTGAGACATAATTCTTTTTGCCTTTTTTTTTTTTAAATTTAGGTAATTATATATTCCTGGAAAGCACATGAAGAATAAGTATTGGAGTGATCATCTCCACTTGGATTTTATAACTCTGGCCTCCATACTTTGGCCCTGAGTGTACCTGAAACACATGTTCTCAGTATTGTTTCTTCTGAGTTTAGGTGGTTTTCATGGCCAATTCTAGGAAAATTGCTATAGGAAGGAAACAATTTTGTTAGCCTGCTAACCTTTATAGTATGTAGATCTCTTGTTTAATATATCCTAGGTACTTGTAAAACACTTCATGTACATTAATTTATTTAGTCTGTAGCACTTGTGTGATAGAACTTTTAATAGCTATTAAAACGGCGGTGCCAGGATCTGAACCTGGGCATTCTCAATCCAGTGTATATTCTTAATCATGATAACACTCTGCCTCTTATTTGTGTAAACATGATTGAAAACACTGGTGATAGAGTATAGGCAATATTTGCAGGCTTTAATATGTTGAACTTACTGGGCAGAGTGTTTGAAATGTATGCCTCTCATACTTTAAATATATCTGTTAACATCTACATAGATTTCTACCCCTGTATATTTGTTTCCAGTTAAGCATCTGGAACTATCTCACCTGATCTGAGTATTTCAAGTCTATTCCTAACAATTTCAGAATAAGAATTGGCCTTTCAGATAGTTGAGTTTTTCATCATGTGGTCCAGAAGTGGTTGGATTGTAAGGGATAGAGGGCTGAGAAGCCTAGTTTTGAGCGATAAAGGACATGTGAAGGAATGTGGTACTGCTTGTAGGTTCTTGATGGAGGAGATGAAATGGTGAGGCAGCACGAAGACTGAGTGAAGATGAGAACAGTGGGCATCTGGTGCGGGTCTGACAGCTGCCTTAGCTTGAGGACCCACCTCTTGCATTAGAGTGGGGCAAAAAATAAAAATTTCTCAGCCCTCTACTGGACCAGAGTCTAGAGCACTTTTGGAAAGGAACCATGCCTAATGGATGTATCCCAGGGGTGTTGGCTTGCAATTAAACTAATTCATGTAAGCCACCAATTATTCTACCAATAAAAAGGTTTTTTGTTTTTTTTTTTTTAAATCTAGCATCAGTTGGATTTTCTGGCTTTTGGATCTGGATTTAATAGAAGTTGTAACCAGGGGTGGTGTGTGACAGACCTTGAAGAAAATCTGGAACTTAAACCAGGTTGAAATGAGCCTAGGAATGGTGAGACTCCTCTCCTATACTAGCCAGTCTGTTGATGTGCTGTGTTTGGTGTTCGTTCATCTGGTTCCATGAAAGGAGACACTTTGGGGTCCCTTGGGTTACTTGCTGCCACAGACCAATTTAAATGGACTAAGAATATCAGGACAGAATGACATTAGCTAATTTAGGGACAGAATATAAGCCTTAAAATTCTTACTTCAAAACAAAGGAATCCAGAATTTTTGTTAGGTACTCAAAATAATGTTAGTTAAAACTGACATGATTGAAACCAAATGGAAAGTTAATTTGCAGGATTGCTGAATTAAAATAGTTGAAAGTTTGTAATCCTACTAGCACATTGTTGGGGTAAGTATATTTTGGGAGGCCCTTGAGAACCCCAAGCCTTCTGAATGCACCTAAAGTGTTTCCCTTGCATAGAGAAAGTATGCCTCAGGATAAAACTTAACAATTTTCAACCTTCATTTCCTGTTAATCATTATTTCAATTTGGCAGGCATAAAGAAATTATGGATTACCCAAGGAAATAGAACAGTTCCACCCAGAGACATGGAAGGGTTTTACTTACACATGAGCAGCTTTTACAGGAATGGATTTTGAGGAAGGCTTGGACACAAAGCAGTTTTCCTTTAGCCAACAGATGACAGTCTTTGATTATATAATCAAAAAACCTGGGTCTTGTGAACATAGACTTGACACAGTTCAGAATTCATAGACCCTGAACCCTTTGAAGAAAAGGCCAGGAGCCAGAATAACCACTTGAGTTTTATGATGACCAGTACTACTATGCCAAGGGATTCTACAGTCATTAGCCATTTGAACTGTTGAAGAAATACCCAAACTTTAGATACTGGCTTATAAACTAGTTTGTGAGAATCAGGGACACTTGTGACCAAAAGTCAAAATGGTGGGGGCTTAGAGAAACCTAGGTGATGATTAAGATTGTTTAAAACCTTGTAGGTTTGGTGGAACCTCACATTGAGGTTTTACTAGTGTCCTCAAAAAGGAGCTCTCCTAAAGGCCAAATGGATGCCATTAGGACTTACCCTTCACATTAAACTAGTATGTAAAAATGACCACATCCTTGGGTCTTGCAAAGAGTAGTAGTACCTCTGACATACTTGAGAGATGCAGGCATGATACATTTTCCTAGTTAGGCCAGTGTGTAGACATGGGTGTGTAAGTGATCTAAAGCATGGGTGTTAACTCAGATTTTCTTCACTGGGACAAATACGTCACTTGGTGTATGCCTGTTAATCTAGAAATAAGGTTTTTTCCTCCAACATGACAATTTACTTTTCCATTTTGCCTTAATTTCTGAGACCCCAGAAGCAGACAGTCTTAACCCTCTGACCTGTTGGAATATTCACTTGGGCATTATAAATCACTGCTTTTGCACCTGGGCAGCATTGAATACTTGTGACAGACCATATGACCCACAAAACACTGATGTTCTACATTTCAGAGGAAAACCTTGCTGCCAATTGGTTGAGATCACAGGTACCTGACCTGCCTCACTACCCAACCTGAGTTTCATTTATAGATGGCGCTCTACCTGAAAGGCCAACTTGAGAGAATCACACTGTTTAAAGATGTCATTCAGGTGACCTTGGTAGATTTTCCCATTAGAATAAAGAGCAGCATATATTTCATCACATTGGTCCGAGAACCTGAGTTGCATGGATATCTCTGGACAGTGTATAATCGTCTCACTGTATGGTTATTGTCCTGTCAGTAACAGGATAGCATCTATAATAAGCACAGGCAATGTATGTCTTCAGTTTGGTTATTCATTCACCTAGGCTACACTTCTGAGCCTAACCTGCCAGTAATGACTAACCCTGAGCTCCACTGTGAAATGAACTTTGAGGGAATAACTGCAACAGGTAGTTAACATTGAGCTCCTTACTGTGAAGTGGGCAGCCAGTCGTAGCAAAACTGGATCTAGATAAACTTTCTTGGCAATGTTAGTAATCACACAACTTGGCTTCTCAGGGTTCTTTAGGGAAAGAACTAAAAGGTGGTCAGCAATAAAGCAAAAAGTTTAAAATCTACCTTGTAGGTTTGGTGGAGCCTCACATTGAGGTTTTACTAGAGTCCTGCATACTATGGAGAAAAAAGTGGAAAAGGTGCACATACTAAGTTGGCCAGAGAAGGCATGATTTACTATGACATCAGAATAGACAAAGGTTTAAGTGAGCCATATGAATATTGGGACAATATGCTAGGCAGAACAAACAGGAAGTTCCTTGGCTTGCTCGTCTACAGCACACCACGGAGAGGACAGGAAAAGGAGTTGGGAGGTAATAGGTGGATAAGCAGAGAGCCACATCAATTCAGGATTCTATAAGCATAAGGATAATTTGGCTTTTGTGATGAAATAAACCATCGGGAGTGTTGAAGAGTGATAGACACAGGCTTAACTAGGTGTAAATATAAGAATGACCTATATGTGGGAAAGAGCCACCTATACAGATAACTTCATTCTAATAGGGAAGGTCTCGGAGCTGGTGGTCATGGGGGTGCTTGAGACCCCAGGGAGGTAGGTGCCTGGTGAGGTGACAGCAGTACTGCTGGGTTTACACTCATGTTTGCAAAGTGCTTTATAAGTTTTAAGACTAAATACAAGAAATTTGGAAACCATCAGTGCATACGGAGGCTAGTCATTCCTCAGAACTCAGCACAAGCATATCCCTTGAAGACCCTTCATCTGAACGAGATTATCCTTGGAACATTCCTTTCCATAATTAAAGCTTATACTAATTTACCGACATTTTTTCCATCACCTTTGTGGAGGTCCTCATGATACCCTCCAGGTGTATGTGATCAGCTATTCATAATCAACCATAAAACTTGAGGCACATAAAAATGCTTAGCTTCTTTTTAAAAAAAGCTTTATTGAGGTATATCCATGAATAATAAACTACATGTATAGTGTGGAATTTTGTACACTTCGTTATGTGAATACACCTGTGAAACCATCACAATAATAAAGGCAAAAAGCGTATTTTTCTCCAAAAGATCCCTCATGCCCTTCTGTCACCCTCCACCCCTTTTGCCCTGTCCCAAGACAACCACCAATCCACATTTTTGAGACATAAATGTAGTCACACAGTAACTACTATTTATGTGTGGCTTCTTTCCAATTACACTGAGAATTGTCCATCTTGTTGCATCCATAAGTTAATTTTTTAAAAATTGCTGAATGGTATTCTTTGTACGGATATACTAGTTAACTGCTTATCTACTCTGTTGATGACCTATTGGGTTTCAGCTTTGGCTATTACAAGGAAAGCTGCTGTGCACATTTCATGCATAAGTCAGTGTGGACATAATGCTTTCATATACTTAGGGTTGGAATGGCGAGGTCATGTGGTAGGTATATGTTTAAGTTTTTAAGAAACTGCCACTTTTTCAAAGTGGTTGTACCATTTTAAATCCCACCAGCAGTGTTGGAGAATTCAACTTCCTCCACATCCTTACCAACACTTGGTATGGTCACTCTTGAGCTTTAACCACACGGGGTGGCCTCTCACTGTGGTTTTTTTTTTTAAAGTATCATTGATAGAAAGCCTTATAAATGTCTCATGAGCAGCATTGTGCTTATTACATTCACCCATATCAATTCCCCCCTACACACACCCCACTGCAGTCACTATCCATCAGCACAGTAAGATCCTCTACAGTCACTGCTTACCTTCTCACTGCTCTACTGCCTTCCCCGTCCTCCACCACATTATGTCTACTACTCATACTGCCCCTTAATCCCCTTCTCCCCCACTCACCACTCCCTTCTCTTTGGTGACCGCTGGTCTCTTCTTGGAGTCAGAGTCTACTGTTTTGTTTCTTCAGAGTTGCTTCGTTGTTAACACTACACAATGAAATCATTTGGTACTTTCCTTTCTCCGTGTAACTTATTTCACCAAGCGTAATACCCTCTAGCTCCTTCCCATGTTGTTACAAATGGTACGATTTATTTTCTTATGGCTGAATAATATTCCATTGTGTATACCACAACATCTTTGTTCATCTACTGATGGACACACAGGTTGCTTCCATATCTTGGCTATTGTAAATAGTCCTGTGATAATCATAGGGGTGCTTGTCTTTTTTATCATTAATATACAATCACCTAAACAACATTGTGGTTACTAGATTCTCCCCATTATCAAGTCCCCACCACATACCCCATTACAGTCACTGTCTATCAGCATAGTAAGATGCTATACAGTCACTACTTGTCTTTGTGCTATACTGTGCACCACCCCCCCATGTTATGTTTGCTCTTGTTCCCCTTCTCCCTCCCTTTCCACAAAACCTCCCCAGTCCCTTTCCCTTTGACAACTGTTAGTCTATTCTTGGGTTCAGTAAGTCTGCTGCTGTTTTGTTCCTTTAGTTTTTGCTTTTCTCTTATGCTTCACAGATGAGTGAAATCATTTGATACTTGTCTTTCTCCGCCTGGCTTATTTCACTGAGCATAATACCCTCTAGCTCCATCCATGTTGTTGCAAATGGTAGGATTTGTTTCTTCCTTATGGCTGAATAATACTCCATTGTCTATATGTACCACTTCTTCTTTATCCATTCATCTACTGATGGACAGGTTGCTTCCATTTCTTGGCTATTGTAAATAGTGCTGTGATAAACATAGGGGTGCGTATGTCTTTTTGAAACTGGGATCTTGCATTCCTGGGTAAATTCCTAGGAGTGGAATTCCTGGGTCAAATGGTATTTCTATTTTTAGTTTTATGAGGCACCTCCATACTGCTTTCCTCGGTGGTTGAATTAGTTTACATTCCCAGCAGCAGTGTAAGGAGGGTTCCCCTTTCTCCACATCCTAAGCCAGCATTTCTTCCTAGTTTTTTATATGTGGGCCATCCTA